CAGGATTTCACTATGAGCTAACATTGGTTAGAGAACTGTTGAAAAACCATTGCGGAGTAGTGGATAGCTTTTCCGTTAGCCTAGCATGGGATTCTTCAGCAGTACGCACCTGTCAATATCCAGGTCTTACTACACCGGACCTCACGCTGTCCATGGAAGACTTTCAGAAACAATTTGTAATAACCAACGCGAAAAACCAGAACACTGATTGGCGACTCGAGAATCCTTTATTCTTACGCCAGCATGTAACCGACAATAAGGTTATTGCACACGAGGTCTAAGAATAAATGTTATAACAATAAATCATGGTAATAGTTCTGATAGTTTTCTTTCTTCCACCGAACAGCGAACGATGAGACGATGACCACCGTTTTGACGCCTCCCGCGAAAAATAGAGTTGGGTTTGAGCAAACAACCATAAATTGATCGTTCAATCTTCAACTACACTGACAGCACCCGCCACCAGAGCCGGAACCCAGGACCTTCTGGTAACATGGCTTCAAGCCTCTGGGACCCGATTCAGTGGCCAGCCAGCCCATATATTCCAACTTCTGCCAATTCATGACATACATCGACCACATGCTAATTTCTCTGCCAAATATTTGTCCTCACATCCGACATAGTGCACCCTGGGATAGTCACTAGAGGCTGACTCTAGTCAGGTAGGTAGTTAGAAGGAGTCCTAGTGGGAAGTCATGGCCAATAGCGTGAAGCATCCCGGGTATGATAACAAATACTCGCCACCGGTGACATTGGCTAGTGGTCGCGATATGTTGTGAACTGGTGGAAGTCAGATTTCATCGGTCGGCCAGTGGATCACATTTCAATTGCTGAATGGCCTTCGACCTCGCCTTGTAACCAGAAGGTCTTGGGTTTAGACCCTGGTAATGGGTGCGTACTGCTTAAGAGTCCTATACTGGGCTGACGAAACAGCTGCCCCGTGCTCCATTATGGTTTTCCAATGGTTCTCTAACCGATTTCAGCCCATGACGAAACCCCGTACCCAATCAATCAAATCCCTACAAACCAGTACTTCAAAATGTATGAAAATTGGTAACTACTGACTGAAGGTAGTCACTTCTGCATAAAATAGTAGTCTAGAGATAACAATAAAAATATTTTGACGTATGGGCAATACATGAGAACACAGCACCAAAGAATTATTCCAGGAGGAAAATGAAAGTTTCACGACCAAATATCACAAAACATAACGATACCAGATACATCTGTAAGTGATCAAAGAAACTCATCACTCCATCGAACTTCAGCGATTTCATTTTCAACAATAAATTTTCTCTTCTGTGCCAGTCGAATCGCATCGAAGGCGACTGTATTTTTCAAGGGACTACCAAATTAGGTAAGTCAGATGGAAAAGCTAGGAGTGAGCACGTCCAAAAAGCGGGTCTAGCCGAATAGGTAGCGCACAAAAATCATGAGTGTTATTTCCAGTTGAAACAAGTCGGAAAACGAGCTCAAAGTCGCTCAGGCGACTTAACTAATTGGCTTCTTAGGTGGCCGCCTATAGTATAAATCTTTAATGTTTCGAAATCAAAGGACAGGCATCCCTAATTCTGAAAACACACACAGAATACTGCAATGAAACAGCAGGAAAGCAGGTCATTTTGAAATCACCCCCAGAATGTTGAAACATTTTGGAATAATTATTGCTGGCAAACATACACGGTCACTTCAGCATATTATATAGTAATTTTCATTCTTTTACTATGTCACCCAAAATTCTGAGATAAAGAGCCAAAACTGTCTTCGGCTTTAGGATCTATTGTTTTACTTATGGAGAACACAGTACAAGTTAAAACACATTGGGAAACAGAAAGAAAATGAAAAAGTTTCACTTCCATTCTTTCACACATCTCCACATGGGTAGCTGTAGAAACTATCTCAGCTAGCGTTTGAAAGCCGTAAACAGAGAAGACTGGAGGTACTCCAGAGGATTCATGTAAGTCAAGTATTGGCAATTAATAGATTTGACGAAACACAAGAAATCTATCAATTAGTTAATAAAAGGTTGCACGATCAAGAAGTGGAAGACCATGTTAGGGGACACATTAATACTGATACTGTTGAGTACATATACGCATAATTTCATGTAGACAATCAGCCACGGGTGAGGAGTGATAGACTAGATATTAGGTCAAACTTTTAAGGCATTAGTGGCCGATATGCAATCACAAATTATACTGTAATAGATCCATTGACACATCTTAACTTATAATAATATTCTCATTTTTGTACATGAGGAACGCCAGTTTACAGGCATCATCAACTCGATAAATTACACATACGATTAGGAAGCATAAATAGTAAAGATAATATAATAAGGTACATATCTTTTCCTAGCCATAGGATACACGAGTTGTATAAGCATGCATAAGTATTGTTTAAATTACATGATTTACGGTCGCGTTCATTTTGTCTTTAGTTTGTGGGAAAAATCTGATAACTAGTGATTCAATGGACCACGTCAAGAGACATGGAGATACTGACTTCGTATCAACAAAAGACCAAGTATTAGTTGGATGGATTACAGATAATTGGGAAAATAAATAAAGCTGGAAGTCAATCCACTAATATAACAAAATGAGACTTATTATAATATAATGTCATTTAATGCACATGGCAGTTGACAGGCACCATCAATATGGTAATAAAAACAATTTATATCTTCATATAAACATACAAATTTACATGAAAACGCATGCCATTTTTACAGGCATGATCAAGTATGATATAATCTCAAATCGTGGATTGTCTACAAGTTAATAATGTTTCAACAGGTGAATATTTGATATATATATATATATAATTACACTCACTGTCTGAACCAGGCCGTGTAGTTATTGAACTGCACAGTTGACCTCCAGGTTTCGCGGGAAGGTCGACTTAGTTTCGTTTTCATCCCGTGGTTGTAAGCATACGATTATTATTATTGTATCCTTTAGTTCCTAGAGGAACATAGGGCTTCAGCTGCGCACCTCCATTGCCTTCTGTTTTCTGACAACTTTTTCACCCCGATCCAAATCTGCCCACATGCTTTCATCTCCTCTTCACATCACCTCCTCCTCCATGTCACCCTTACACTGACGACCAACTCGCCGCCTCCCTTTCGGGTTCCACTCGAGCGATGGCTTGTCTAGTGATGTCACTTGATGGTTTCCTCAGCGTATGGCCAATCCATCTCCATTTCTTCCTGCCTATTTGTTTCACAATCGGTTCCTGATTGGTTCGCTCCCAGAGACCCCACACTGTTGCTGATCTTTTCTGGCCGGCCATCTGATCTTGAGTAGTATTGAGCGAAGACGACTGTTAATGAAGGTCTGAAGTTTGTTTGAGATGCTATTTATGACGCGCTGGCCAAGTCTCTGATCCGTATAGTGGCACTGACTTTACATTGGAGTTGAAAATCCGGATCTTATTTTTGATGCTGAGCGCTGTTGACCTCCACACAGATTTGAGAGTAATGAAAGCTTGTCTTGCTTTTCCGATTCTCGCTTTGATATCCTCATCAGTTCCGCCTGTAGTTGAGACGATGCTTCCCAGGTAGGTGAAGGAGGCTGTTTCTTTCAGGTTCCTCCCATTTATGCTGGCTGATTGTTGTCTGCTTTTGTTGCTGTTGGTGGTGTTGGCCAAGAATATTCATCACCTCTGTTTTATCTATGTTCGCCTGAAGTCCTATCTTTGATGCTTCTTCCTCTGTCGACTTGTTGCTTTTCACTCGCATATCTTCCAGTTTGTGGGAAATCAGACATATATCATCGGCGAAATCCACATCCTCCAAGTCTTTTGTGTCAGTCCATTTGATGCCTGTTCCCTCGTTGGTTGCCGTTGTCTGTCGCATTATCCAATCAATTGCAGTCAGGAAGATCATTGGTGATAGTAGACAGCCTTGCCTCACTCCCGTCCTCACTTCGAAGGCTTCCGTAAGTTTCCCGTTGTGGATTACTTGGCATGCAGCATTGTCGTATAACTGTTGGATGAGATGTATAATTGTCGATGGCACCCCGTAGTAGCGAAGTAGTTTCCAAATGACTTCTCGATCGACGCTGTCGAGAAGCCTTTTCAAAGTCGATGAAGTTGAGTGAGGCGGATAGGTAACTGCCATTCCAAGCTTTGTTCAATGATGATCCGTGGAGTGGCGGTTTGATCAATACATGATTTGTTTCTCCTGAATCCGGCCTGTTCCGGACGAAGTTTTTCATCTAGGGCTTGTTTGATACTCTCCAGGATGATGCGACTTAGTATGTTGCTTGGAATGGACAGAAGCATAATTCCACGCCAGTTTTTACATTGACTTAAGTCTCCTTTCTTTGGTAGTTTGAATAAGTATCCGTTCTTCCAATTCTCGGGTACTTTGCCCTCTTTCCACACCTTCTCCAGCAGTGGCGTCATCAAGTCCGCTGTTGTCTCTGGGTCTATTTTCAAAGCTTCTACTGGGATTCCATCTGGTCCTGCTGCTTTCCCAGCTTTTAGCATCTTGATGGCATTCAGGACCTCCGATTCCGTCAGGGGGTCAGTGTTCACTTGTGGAGTCCTCAAAAATCAACTTACCCAAATTTTACTACTATGTAAATAATGAACATATTGTACACCACTTTGTTTTAACCAGAAACTCTGTACTTTGACTTTACCTCGGGTTTTGAATAAATATATAGTTGTGCCTTCGACTCTCCGTCTTCTCCACCATCTCAACTGCCGTCGATCAATCCTAATCACCTGCTTTCTATCTCTGATTTTTGCAGGAGCACCGTAGTTTCTTCCTACGTACTTTGGTCGACCTCCGGCAACGTTAACATTGGAGAATTACTACTGGAGCAGTCTTTCCGCAGCACCTGGAGTCTATTACGTTTATTGTGGACTGTGGACCTTTGTAAACTCAAGTAATCAAACTTTAATACATTCTTCCCGTAACTAAACTCATTTGGTATTTTATTTTCTACTTGAATTTGGGTAACTAAGCTAATAGAGTGAAAAGGTCCACCACAATAATTGGTGAGCCCGTTTCGAACCCTTTTTTATGGTTAACCCGTTTTCGAACCTTTTTGTTTCGATAGTTACCTCGTTTTGAACATTTTTGTTGCTATTTTGTCCTTATAAACTCGCACTGCTTTAATTTTTGTTACCACAAGTTTTTCTATTTTGTATATCTATATACTTACATATTATATGACAATGGCTCCACCTAAACGTACCACTGTTGCTGAAGAAGGTAATAAAGGCGAAGAGACACAGAACTCTGCTGTTAACGCCTTGCCGGATTTAAGACTACCTCAATTTGATCTGGCTGAACCACGTGTCTGGTTCACAGTCATTGAACAGTTGTTTGCAGCTCGAGGTATTACGTCGCAGATCGCCATGTATGGTTGCGTATTAGCAGCAATTCCCACGGAAGTACTACGAGAGGTTATCGATGTCATAGACAGCAAACCTACAGACTCTCAATATGACAAACTAAAAGCTGCACTCATCCAGCGGACCACTCTCTCCGATGAGAAACGCATACAACAACTACTTACTTCGTGTGATCTAGGTACAAAAAAGCCATCTCAACTACTTAGACATATGCGCCAGTTGATTGGGTCACACAAAGTAGATGAGTTAATTCTACGTCAGATGTTCTTACAACGTTTACCACAAAATGTTCAACAAATCCTAACAATATCTTCTAGGACGACAGACCTTGAAGAATTAGCTAAAATGGCAGACGATATCATGGATGTGTTATCAAATAATGGCATAAATAGCGTGTCTACCGAGGCAGTACCACCAAGCCCTTCCACATCTATGAAGGACGCACCAATGTTTTGGTTACTTTCCCAGTTAACATCTCAAATGCAAGATTTACGACTGGAAGTGTCCGAGCTTCGAGCACAAAGGAACCAGTCACATACGGTATCCAAGCAACGGCGATCAAGATCTAGACGACGTTCTAGAACACCGTCTCAAAGCCGTAACATTTGTTGGTATCATAGGAGGTATGGGCATAATGCCCTGAAGTGTATTCGACCGTGTATGTACAACAGTAGTAACTCATCTCAGGGAAACTCCCCAGCCAGACAGTAATGGCGACGGCTGTTAATGGCAATCACCCCAGTCGCCTTTTCTATGTGAGGGATTTGACTACCGGCACATTATTCTTGGTAGATACAGGCGCCGAGGTCAGTGTTATTCCCCCCTCACTATCCAGGCGATCAGCCAAAATACCTGGAAAACTTTCACTTCGTGCTGCCAACCAAACCAACATACAGACGTATGGCGAACAGTCAATGATTTTAAATTTAGGACTACGCCGACGTTTCACATGGATCTTCATAGTAGCTGACGTACGTCACGCTATACTAGGTGCAGACTTCCTAAGTCACTTCAATCTGTTAGTTGATATCAGCAAGAAAAAACTGGTTGACAATTGCACCCAACTCAAGATCCACGGTATTACATGTGACTACTCGGTTCATAGCATCTGTATAGAAAAGCCGGAGAGTGAAATGTTCTCTGCTTTATTGAAACGATTTCCTAAAATCCTTAAACCATCATACAACTTTGAAGATATATCTCATACAGTTACGCATAAGATCATCACAACAGGACAACCTGTGAAGGCACGTCCACGACGGTTACCACCCGATAAACTAGCAGCAGCTAAGTCGGAATTTGAACATATGATGCAGTTAGGTATCATACGACCATCTAACAGCCCATGGTCTTCACCTCTGCACATGGTACCTAAAACTAATCATGACTGGCGACCATGTGGAGATTATCGCGCTTTGAATAACGCTACGGTCCCAGATCGTTATCCTATACCTCATCTCCACGACTTCTCCTTGACCTTACATGGAAAGACCGTTTTTACCAAAGTTGACTTGGTCAGGGCATATCATCAAATACCAGTCGCTCCAGAAGACATTGCAAAAACAGCAATTATTACGCCTTTTGGATTATTCGAATTCTTGAGAATGCCTTTCGGACTAAAGAATGCTGCTCAAACATTTCAGCGTTTTATGGACCAAGTTACCCAAGGTCTTGATTTCGTCTTTGTATATATCGACGATGTCTTAATTGCCAGCTCATCGATGGAAGAACATATGCAACACTTAAGCCTGTTATTTCAAAGGTTTGAACAATTTGGAGTTGTTATCAATCCAAAGAAATGTATTTTTGGTTCCCCTTCCATTGAATTCTTAGGACATCGAATAACTGCCGAAGGCATCAGACCTACCGAAGATAAGATAGAAACTATTAAGAACTTTCCCGAACCTGATTCCTTAAAGAAACTTAGACGTTTTCTCGGGATGTTCAACTTCTACCGACGTTTTATTCCATCATGTGCCTCCATAGTTCAGCCACTGACCGACCTACTTAGATGCAATTCGAAGAAATTTCAGTGGTCTGAAGAAGCAAAAGCAGCATTTAATAATGCAAAAGATGCCTTATCCAACGTTGTAATGTTATCTCATATCAACCCAGAAGCTTCACTCATTTTATGTACAGATGCATCGCAGGTAGCAGTGGGAGCAGTTTTACAACAAAAGTTCAATAATGACATCACTCCACTTGCTTTCTTCTCCAAAAAGTTGGAACCTGCGCAAACTCGTTACAGTACCTTTGGCAGAGAACTGTTAGCCATCTACCTAGCAGTGAAACATTTCAGCTTCTTACTACAAGGTCGACATTTTACTATCTTAACCGACCATAAGCCTCTTTGTTATGCTTTCACCACTTCGTTGGACAGACACTCTCCGAGAGAAGCCAGACAACTGGATTACATCTCACAATTCTCAACAGACATCCAGTTCATCAAAGGAGATTCTAATATCGTAGCCGATTCTTTGTCTCGATGTGACGTTAATCACCTATCTTCGATAGATATTAGCTTAGACAATATTGCCAAGCTGCAGAAAAATGACGCCGAACTCCATACTTGTAGACGAAACTCCTCCCTACAGTTGCAGGATGTACCTATTCCCCTGTCTGATACAACTATCGTCTGCGACGTTTCAACGGGAGTTCATAGACCTTTTGTTCCACTAAGTTGTCGAAAAACTTTGTTTGAACATCTACATTCATTGTCTCATCCTGGAGTGCGTGCTACAGTCAAGTTGATCAGCGAGCGTTTTGTTTGGCCCAAGATGAACTCCGATATTCGGAAATGGGCCCGCCAATGCTTGCAATGTCAAAGATCCAAGGTACATCATCACACCGTCACACCTCCAAAACAGTTCAATTTACCCGATAAACGATTTCAACACGTTCATATAGATGTTGTTGGACCATTACCGCCATCCAGAGGATTTACTCATATACTTACTGCGATTGATCGATTTACCCGATGGGCTATTGCTTGTCCACTCAACGATATATCTGCAGAAAATATCGCTTTGGTTTTCTTAGATCGCTGGGTGTCAAACTATGGAGTACCCACAACTATTACAACAGACCGAGGAGCTCAATTTCAATCAACTCTGTTTCGAGAGTTTACGAGACTCCTTGGAGTGAACCATATCTCCACTACAGCTTATCATCCTGCAGCGAATGGTCTGGTGGAACGTTTCCATCGACAACTGAAAAGCTCGCTTATGGCACAAGCTGACTCATCTAAGTGGAGTGAACACCTACCATTAGTTCTTCTCAGTATCCGATCAACTGTAAAAGAAGATTTGGGATGTACACCAGCTCAACTTGTGTATGGTACTACCCTCACATTGCCTGGTCAGTTAGTTCCGTCTAATGATTCAACTGAAGTAAATATCTCCGACTTCACCAACCGCCTTACCCAGCATATGCTTCAGCTTAGACCAGTAGCCCCTCGCCAATCACTTCAGAAAGCTCAAGTAAATAAGAACCTACTCACTAGCAAATTTGTATTTGTTCGCGTCGATGCCATTAGAAAAGGTCTACAACATCCATATGAAGGTCCTTTTCTAGTACTTAAACGCACCGAAAAATACTTCACGCTGAACAAACATGGTAAACCGGAGACTGTTTCTATCGACCGTCTTAAACCAGCGTACACCGACAGCGAACATGAAACACTAGCAACGCCGACACCAATAAACAATCAGCAAGTCAATGCAACTCCAACTCTCCCGCTCTTCACTCTTCCCCCTGTACAGACACGCAGTGGGCGGCAGATCTGTAAACCTGCCCGCTATGTTCATTTCATTGACTGACATAAACGTTAACCTCATTTAGACATACTTCTCATTACTATTGTTGTTAACATTCACTTCATTATAACCATTAATATTTATTAGTATTATTATTTGCTGTTCGTCAACTGTACTGCAAGCACACGCATTCACCAAGTATATGTATATATCTATTTATATATGAATTTCACAAATGTTAACGAACATGTCATGGTTTATTATGTACATAAATTTTTATTTAAAATTATAACAAGTTTTGATTTTTTTTAAATTCCTGTATGTGCTTGTATGTGCTAAACTTTATACGACACGGATGCATGCCATACATCCTGATCTAACTTTGTATCCTTATTGTTGTTGTTATTTTTTGTTATCCATATTGTTGACATTATCCCTTATTTATGTTGCTTATATTCATGTAATCGTCCACGAGGGCAGTACTGATGGTCCTCCGGACCTCTAAGAGGGGGAGCCCTGTGGAGTCCTCAAAAATCAACTTATCCAAATTTTACTACTATGTAAATAATGAACATATTGTACACCACTTTGTTTTAACCAGAAACTCTGTACTTTGACTTTACCTCGGGTTTTGAATAAATATATAGTTGTGCCTTCGACTCTCCGTCTTCTCCACCATCTCAACTGCCGTCGATCAATCCTAATCACCTGCTTTCTATCTCTGATTTTTGCAGGAGCACCGTAGTTTCTTCCTACGTACTTTGGTCGACCTCCGGCAACGTTAACATTGGAGAATTACTACTGGAGCAGTCTTTCCGCAGCACCTGGAGTCTATTACGTTTATTGTGGACTGTGGACCTTTGTAAACTCAAGTAATCAAACTTTAATACATTCTTCCCGTAACTAAACTCATTTGGTATTTTATTTTCTACTTGAATTTGGGTAACTAAGCTAATAGAGTGAAAAGGTCCACCACAATAATTGGTGAGCCCGTTTCGAACCCTTTTTTATGGTTAACCCGTTTTCGAACCTTTTTGTTTCGATAGTTACCTCGTTTTGAACATTTTTGTTGCTATTTTGTCCTTATAAACTCGCACTGCTTTAATTTTTGTTACCACAAGTTTTTCTATTTTGTATATCTCTATACTTATATATTATATGACAATGGCTCCACCTAAACGTACCACTGTTGCTGAAGAAGGTAATAAAGGCGAAGAGACACAGAACTCTGCTGTTAACGCCTTGCCGGATTTAAGACTACCTCAATTTGATCTGGCTGAACCACGTGTCTGGTTCACAGTCATTGAACAGTTGTTTGCAGCTCGAGGTATTACGTCGCAGATCGCCATGTATGGTTGCGTATTAGCAGCAATTCCCACGGAAGTACTACGAGAGGTTATCGATGTCATAGACAGCAAACCTACAGACTCTCAATATGACAAACTAAAAGCTGCACTCATCCAGCGGACCACTCTCTCCGATGAGAAACGCATACAACAACTACTTACTTCGTGTGATCTAGGTACAAAAAAGCCATCTCAACTACTTAGACATATGCGCCAGTTGATTGGGTCACACAAAGTAGATGAGTTAATTCTACGTCAGATGTTCTTACAACGTTTACCACAAAATGTTCAACAAATCCTAACAATATCTTCTAGGACGACAGACCTTGAAGAATTAGCTAAAATGGCAGACGATATCATGGATGTGTTATCAAATAATGGCATAAATAGCGTGTCTACAGAGGCAGTACCACCAAGCCCTTCCACATCTATGAAGGACGCACCAATGTTTTGGTTACTTTCCCAGTTAACATCTCAAATGCAAGATTTACGACTGGAAGTGTCCGAGCTTCGAGCACAAAGGAACCAGTCACATACGGTATCCAAGCAACGGCGATCAAGATCTAGACGACGTTCTAGAACACCGTCTCAAAGCCGTAACATTTGTTGGTATCATAGGAGGTATGGGCATAATGCCCTGAAGTGTATTCGACCGTGTATGTACAACAGTAGTAACTCATCTCAGGGAAACTCCCCAGCCAGACAGTAATGGCGACGGCTGTTAATGGCAATCACCCCAGTCGCCTTTTCTATGTGAGGGATTTGACTACCGGCACATTATTCCTGGTAGATACAGGCGCCGAGGTCAGTGTTATTCCCCCCTCACTATCCAGGCGATCAGCCAAAATACCTGGAAAACTTTCACTTCGTGCTGCCAACCAAACCAACATACAGACGTATGGCGAACAGTCAATGATTTTAAATTTAGGACTACGCCGACGTTTCACATGGATCTTCATAGTAGCTGACGTACGTCACGCTATACTAGGTGCAGACTTCCTAAGTCACTTCAATCTGTTAGTTGATATCAGCAAGAAAAAACTGGTTGACAATTGCACCCAACTCAAGATCCACGGTATTACATGTGACTACTCGGTTCATAGCATCTGTATAGAAAAGCCGGAGAGTGAAATGTTCTCTGCTTTATTGAAACGATTTCCTAAAATCCTTAAACCATCATACAACGTCGAAGATATATCTCATACAGTTACGCATAAGATCATCACAACAGGACAACCTGTGAAGGCACGTCCACGACGGTTACCACCCGATAAACTAGCAGCAGCTAAGTCGGAATTTGAACATATGATGCAGTTAGGTATCATACGACCATCTAACAGCCCATGGTCTTCACCTCTGCACATGGTACCTAAAACTAATCATGACTGGCGACCATGTGGAGATTATCGCGCTTTGAATAACGCTACGGTCCCAGATCGTTATCCTATACCTCATCTCCACGACTTCTCCTTGACCTTACATGGAAAGACCGTTTTTACCAAAGTTGACTTGGTCAGGGCATATCATCAAATACCAGTCGCTCCAGAAGACATTGCAAAAACAGCAATTATTACGCCTTTTGGATTATTCGAATTCTTGAGAATGCCTTTCGGACTAAAGAATGCTGCTCAAACATTTCAGCGTTTTATGGACCAAGTTACCCAAGGTCTTGATTTCGTCTTTGTATATATCGACGATGTCTTAATTGCCAGCTCATCGATGGAAGAACATATGCAACACTTAAGCCTGTTATTTCAAAGGTTTGAACAATTTGGAGTTGTTATCAATCCAAAGAAATGTATTTTTGGTTCCCCTTCCATTGAATTCTTAGGACATCGAATAACTGCCGAAGGCATCAGACCTACCGAAGATAAGATAGAAACTATTAAGAACTTTCCCGAACCTGATTCCTTAAAGAAACTTAGACGTTTTCTCGGGATGTTCAACTTCTACCGACGTTTTATTCCATCATGTGCCTCCATAGTTCAGCCACTGACCGACCTACTTAGATGCAATTCGAAGAAATTTCAGTGGTCTGAAGAAGCAAAAGCAGCATTTAATAATGCAAAAGATGCCTTATCCAACGTTGTAATGTTATCTCATATCAACCCAGAAGCTTCACTCATTTTATGTACAGATGCATCGCAGGTAGCAGTGGGAGCAGTTTTACAACAAAAGTTCAATAATGACATCACTCCACTTGCTTTCTTCTCCAAAAAGTTGGAACCTGCGCAAACTCGTTACAGTACCTTTGGCAGAGAACTGTTAGCCATCTACCTAGCAGTGAAACATTTCAGCTTCTTACTACAAGGTCGACATTTTACTATCTTAACCGACCATAAGCCTCTTTGTTATGCTTTCACCACTTCGTTGGACAGACACTCTCCGAGAGAAGCCAGACAACTGGATTACATCTCACAATTCTCAACAGACATCCAGTTCATCAAAGGAGATTCCAATATCGTAGCCGATTCTTTGTCTCGATGTGACGTTAATCACCTATCTTCGATAGATATTAGCTTAGACAATATTGCCAAGCTGCAGAAAAATGACGCCGAACTCCATACTTGTAGACGAAACTCCTCCCTACAGTTGCAGGATGTACCTATTCCCCTGTCTGATACAACTATCGTCTGCGACGTTTCAACGGGAGTTCATAGACCTTTTGTTCCACTAAGTTGTCGAAAAACTTTGTTTGAACATCTACATTCATTGTCTCATCCTGGAGTGCGTGCTACAGTCAAGTTGATCAGCGAGCGTTTTGTTTGGCCCAAGATGAACTCCGATATTCGGAAATGGGCCCGCCAATGCTTGCAATGTCAAAGATCCAAGGTACATCATCACACCGTCACACCTCCAAAACAGTTCAATTTACCCGATAAACGATTTCAACACGTTCATATAGATGTTGTTGGACCATTACCGCCATCCAGAGGATTTACTCATATACTTACTGCGATTGATCGATTTACCCGATGGGCTATTGCTTGTCCACTCAACGATATATCTGCAGAAAATATCGCTTTGGTTTTCTTAGATCGCTGGGTGTCAAACTATGGAGTACCCACAACTATTACAACAGACCGAGGAGCTCAATTTCAATCAACTCTGTTTCGAGAGTTTACGAGACTCCTTGGAGTGAACCATATCTCCACTACAGCTTATCATCCTGCAGCGAATGGTCTGGTGGAACGTTTCCATCGACAACTGAAAAGCTCGCTTATGGCACAAGCTGACTCATCTAAGTGGAGTGAACACCTACCATTAGTTCTTCTCAGTATCCGATCAACTGTAAAAGAAGATTTGGGATGTACACCAGCTCAACTTGTGTATGGTACTACCCTCACATTGCCTGGTCAGTTAGTTCCGTCTAATGATTCAACTGAAGTAAATATCTCCGACTTCACCAACCGCCTTACCCAGCATATGCTTCAGCTTAGACCAGTAGCCCCTCGCCAATCACTTCAGAAAGCTCAAGTAAATAAGAACCTACTCACTAGCAAATTTGTATTTGTTCGCGTCGATGCCATTAGAAAAGGTCTACAACATCCATATGAAGGTCCTTTTCTAGTACTTAAACGCACCGAAAAATACTTCACGCTGAACAAACATGGTAAACCGGAGACTGTTTCTATCGACCGTCTTAAACCAGCGTACACCGACAGCGAACATGAAACACTAGCAACGCCGACACCAATAAACAATCAGCAAGTCAATGCAACTCCAACTCTCCCGCTCTTCACTCTTCCCCCTGTACAGACACGCAGTGGGCGGCAGATCTGTAAACCTGCCCGCTATGTTCATTTCATTGACTGACATAAACGTTAACCTCATTTAGACATACTTCTCATTACTATTGTTGTTAACATTCACTTCATTATAACCATTAATATTTATTAGTATTATTATTTGCTGTTCGTCAACTGTACTGCAAGCACACGCATTCACCAAGTATATGTATATATCTATTTATATATGAATTTCACAAATGTTAACGAACATGTCATGGTTTATTATGTACATAAATTTTTATTTAAAATTATAACAAGTTTTGATTTTTTTTTAAATTCCTGTATGTGCTTGTATGTGCTAAACTTTATACGACACGGATGCATGCTATACATCCTGATCTAACTTTGTATCCTTATTGTTGTTATTTTTTGTTATCCATATTGTTGACATTATCCCTTATTTATGTTGCTTATATTCATGTAATCGTCCACGAGGGCAGTACTGATGGTCCTCCGGACCTCTAAGAGGGGGAGCCCTGTGGAGTCCTCAAAAATCAACTTATCCAAATTTTACTACTATGTAAATAATGAACATATTGTACACCACTTTGTTTTAACCAGAAACTCTGTACTTTGACTTTACCTCGGGTTTTGAATAAATATATAGTTGTGCCTTCGACTCTCCGTCTTCTCCACCATCTCAACTGCCGTCGATCAATCCTAATCACCTGCTTTCTATCTCTGATTTTTGCAGGAGCACCGTAGTTTCTTCCTACGTACTTTGGTCGACCTCCGGCAACGTTAACATTGGAGAATTACTACTGGAGCAGTCTTTCCGCAGCACCTGGAGTCTATTACGTTTATTGTGGACTGTGGACCTTTGTAAACTCAAGTAATCAAACTTTAATACATTCTTCCCGTAACTAAACTCATTTGGTATTTTATTTTCTACTTGAATTTGGGTAACTAAGCTAATAGAGTGAAAAGGTCCACCACACACTGGTAGTTCTGCTTCCGTTGTTGGTATTGTTGGGCGCGTTGTAGGTGGCGGACGATTTAGAAGTCTTTTGAAGTGTTCAACCCAGTGCTTTCTCTGTTCCACCTCTTTGGTGATTGACTTTCCATTGTCGTCCTTTATTGGCTTAATCTGTGTCGAACGTTTGCCCGAAAGGTGCCTAGTTGTTTGGTAGAGTGTGGCGAGGTCTCCTTTGCCTGCAGCTTGTTCTGCTTCGTTTGCCATGGTTTCATAATATTTTCTTTTGTCTTCCCTGGCACTCTTCTTCACTCTTTTGTTCAGTGTATTGTAGCTTGCATTCAGCTCCTGTTTTTGTTGCTCGTCAGTGCACTGGATAATCTTTTGTTTCACTGTCCTTCTCTCTTCTATTAGTTTCCAAGTGTCCGTAGTGAGCCACTGTTTGTCCTGTCTCTTTTTTCTGCCTAGAACTTCCATGCAGGTTTGACTACACACCGTTTTCAAGTTGTTCCAGTGCTTTTCGACGCTGACCTTTTCGCTGGTGTTGATTTGTATCTCGGCTTTGTCCTTTATGCTTGCATTGAAGATGTACTTTGTAGCCTGGTCCTTCAGCTTTTGAGTGTTGAACTTGGCTTGTGGTCTATCTGCAGCTCCTGTTTCCCTGAAAGCTTTTAATTTGATTTGGATTGTCCCTTGTACGAGATAGTGGTCTGAGCCAACGTCTGCTCCTCTTCTTGCTTTTGTGTCCAGTAGGCTGCGCCTCCACTTCCTTGAGCACCATTGAGATGAAGTCGATTTGGTTTTTGGTTTGCCCGTCTGGTGACACTCATGTAGCCTTGTGGATATCTTTGTGCTTGTATACACTGCCACCAATCACCAGTTCGTTGAAGGCGCAGAAGTCGGCGAAGAGTTCTCCATTTTCATTCATTTCTCCGAGAGCTTCTCTACCCATGATGAGTTCCCTTCCTGTGTTGTCTGGTCCCAGTTTGGCGTTCATGTCTCCCATTAGTATTTTCATGTCGCCAGCTGGAGTATTGTCCATTGTTGCCTGTAGTTGTCTGTAGAATTCTTCTTTCTTTTCGAGATCTGCGTTGTTTGTGGGTGCATAACATTGTATAATTGACACTTTCCGTCCTTTGGAATTGAATCTGGCGATCATTATCCTGGGCAAAATCGCCTCTAATTGCATTAGGGCCTTCGCTGCCGTCGGTAAGATCATGATAACCACGTCCTCGGTGTGCGTGTGGTTATCTTCTGGGTGACCGGAGTAGATCACTGATTCACTCGTTGACAATTTGGTGAGTCCACTCCCATTCCATCTGCTTTCACATATTCCCAGTACTTGTATTCCGTATCTTTTCATCTCGTTGGCGATCTGGGCAGCTTTCCAGTCTCGTACATAGTTCGGACGTTCCATGTTCCCACAGAGACCTTTTGTTTTGGTGCAAAGAGGTTCATAACACTGAAGTTTCTTCAGCAATTTTGTTTACAGGGTGGGGTTGCTAGCCTCACGCCTGAGAAAGGAATGATTACATTAAGTAAAAGTTTAGAGAGAAGCGACATTTTGGGTTGCTCCCTGTCAATGCAGTTGAAGATTGAACGATCAATTCTTGGTTGTTTGCTCAAAATCAACTTCCCCAATTTTCGCGGAGGCATCAATACACCAGTCATCGTCTCATCGGTCGCTGTTCAGAAAGAAGTCAGCAGTAAACCGTCAGAAGTAATCTTGTGATTTATTATTGTAATATTTGTTTTCAGACCTTAGTTCACTTATTCTTTTATATGTTGGTGTAACAATAAAGAAATCTCAAGCGGCCAATCGGTGTTTTGGTTTTTTCGTCCGTTATAACTAAGCGTTTCTGAAATCTTCAAGGAACAGCGTGGGCCCGAGCGTAGCGAGAGCTAGGCATTAACGGTTTACGAGACGTGATTGACAGTTTCTGACGATGGAAACAGATTCTGGCGGATTCAGACAGTTGGTGAAAGTTTGGATAGTCACCGTTCATCTCTCCTAGTGCCGGTCAAGTCCTCTTTGAACAAGCAATATCTGGAACGTTTTTGGAATTGGGTCAAGTTCAACAATGCCTGGGTCAAAGAAGGGACAGAGTGTCTTGGATGCAAACAGGAAAGTAAGTCATGGTGACTTGTCTGTTAATTGTAACGATGTGTCTGATGTTAAGCATGATATGGTTGATGTTACTGTTTCGCCGTTCAGGGATAATAGGAACATCAAACTCCCTAAATTTGAACCACGGTGTTTCGATGGAAACCCGGCTGATTATTTACAATTTGTAAAGGAGTTTGAGATCATGTTGAGTGGTTTTTTACTAAATGATGAATTGAAGTTAATGTATTTGATGAGGTATTGCACTGGAGATGCTTCAAGAGCTATACAGTGCTGTAAGTTTATGAAGCCAAAAGAGGGCTACTACGAGGCTATGAGCATATTACGTCAAAGGTTTGGAAGACCTTCGATGATTGTAAGGAACGTATACGAAGCTGTCAAAGGTAATGGCAGTCAACTTCAAGATGACTCCAAGGCACTTACTGAGTTTTTAGATAATCTTATGACTTATAAGAATACCTTGATTTCTATGAATTGCACGAGTGACCTCAACTCGAGTTTTATACTAGAAGTAATAGCAAGACGTCTACCTACTCGACTGCAGAGGAAGTGGGTGAAGATAAGCTCCCGTATGGAGGATGAGGGTATCGAGCCAAAGTTTGATGATATCCTGAAACTGGTAAATACTAGTGTCAATCAATCTATGAGCAAGTTTGCCAGTATATTGCATCTCACCCCTAGAATAGAGCAGTCTGAGAGCAAAATGCAATCATTGATGACGAATAGGCCTCAGAGAGGTGGATATCGAGAAGGCTCCATGATGTCTAGTAATGCATATAGACCTAGTGAGTGTAACAGGTTTCGTAGTACATCCTCAACAGATAAGTTGCAAGCTGCAAGACAAACACGGTTGTGTTTTACACGTTTGCAAGAAGTGCATACAGAAGTGAACTGTGAACCAGTGAGCAAGTTCAGTGATAAGCTAAATGTAAACTCCAGGCCTGACTCCGAATTGTGTGACGATAACGGTGCGGTCAAGAAGTCTGTAGTTGCAACTGGTAAGCCATTGTTGAATAGAGTGTCACAGAATAGAGTTACTGCTTCAGAGTGCAGTTCTGACTCCAAAAGTTTACAAAGTATAACTAGTCAGAGTGAAGATATAAAACCTTTAATGATTTTTGAGGAGGAACCAAAATTGTCTACTTCTGTTAACAAAGAGTTTGAAAATGATGAACTTGACGGTAAATTGAATATTTGTGGTAATGATCATGATAATGCAGATTTGTCTTTGGTTGATCATGATGAAATGGAGGGAATGCCTACTACCGCTAAGTTAAATAAAGGTTCTGTACAACTTGAACGTGAAGTAGAAATAAATGCAGGTGCAGTTGCAGAAGGCATGCGTACTTGTGAGACCGTCAGTGTAATTGATCAGCATGTAGCCCACCTATCATCAGATGCTAGTGCTAAACCTGAGCTGATAGTAAAAGACAGCAGTGGTGGTGGTCTTATAGGTAGACAAACTTCTGAAAGCCGAGCAACAACAGCTTTTGATCCACCGCTAACTTCATCAACTGATATCAATCAGTCGTCGTTGGTGCTGTCATCCACAATGAAACAGACGCCCATCAACTCAAGTATCTTGTGCAATGACTATGGTAGTATCAGTTCGTTTGAAAGGACGAATATCAATGGTCAGTTTAGTGAGGATAAGCCAAGTGTAAACGAGAGAGTAATTGTTAAATTGACTTGCACGAATAAAGGCATTTCTAGTTTCAAGTTACTATTTGAATGTTATTATCTTCGGTGTAAATTACTCTGTTTCTACACTTGGTTGACGAGATACGTCGTATGTTTGTTGGTCATCTATATTCTACGATACAATGACATGAGCGTGTTGCCGTTCAGATTTGAGGATATAGCTCATAGAAGGAAGTCAGCAAATGAACTCTGCGACGATTTTCCAACCTAGAGCGTCAACCTGAGAAGGGTTGTAGGCGTACTGCTGTAAGTCCTACAATTCTTCAAAGGGTAGCGCATCAATGAGCAGTCCAATGTGCTTGGTGTGTGATTTTGTACATATGTTCATATTGCATATACTGAATTGATATCATCTGTCATCTAGCTGTTGGTAATTCTGTTTGTGTCCGGACGACTTCCACTTGGATCATCAACCTGAGAAGGAATGTAGGCGTACTGCTGTAAGTCCTACAGTTCTTCAAGGGTAGTTCTTCAAGGCAGAATCCACAACATTCGATGTGTTGATTGTACATATGTTTGTGTTAAATAGTTGTGTGAGTTCCAATTATCGTAATTGTTGGTTAATCTTGTTTGTGTCCGGACATTCCACAGATTACAATCGTCAACTTGAGAAGGGTTGTAGGCGTAATGGTGTAAGTCCTGCAATTCTTCAAAGGAATTCCACCAAGACATGATCGGCGAGGTTGTTTGTACTGTTTGTATATACGTGTGGTGTGTCATATCAATTGGTGTTTGTTGGATTCATTGTGTTTACTTGTTGTTTTCGTATCTTGTTGTTATTGCGTAATTTTGTTAAAATTTTCGTCGTGATTACTTCTGAAGTTGTGTCCACTCTTCTACATCCGTGAATGAATTGATTGATGTTAAGGACAGCAGATGGGTCGTATACGCCGGGAGGCTAGGCTATTGCTGAGAATGAAATGCACACGGAGATAATTGTTAGCTGCGGTCCGACACGCCGGGGAGAAAGAGTGTAAACGACTGAGGCTCGCATGCGTCACCGCTACTAGAACTGAGGCAGAATGAGTGACAAGCGATTTCAGTGGTAATTGGTAGTGAGTAGATAAGAGGATGTGCGTAGATTATTGCGAGGTGGTGCTATGGTCACGTTGCATTCTGCAAGAGTCATTCTAGCAAGTGGCGATTGTGTTGCAAGATGTCAAGAGGATGCCTTTAACCGAAAGGCGCAGGTCGTCATTGATGTGTGAGATTGTGCTGTGGGTATGCTTGTGGTGTGTTGGCTTTTCTGTTTGTTTTCCATTTCAGCTCTGTCCGTGTGACCCAGGTTCTCGCAATGGCATCCAAGTCAACGTGTATTGGTCGTGATGGAAAAAAGGGTTGGATCCGTTTTTTGCCGGGGAGTGTCAATGGAGTTGAAGATTGAACGATCAATTCTTGGTTGTTTGCTCAAAATCAACTTCCCCAATTTTCGCGGAGGCATCAATACGACAGTCATCGTCTCATCGGTCGCTGTTCAGAAAGAAGTCAGCAGTAAACCGTCAGAAGTAATCTTGTGATTTATTATTGTAATATTTGTTCACAGACCTTAGTCATACTTGATTTATATGTTGGTGTAACAATACAGAATCCTCAAGTCAACAATTGGGGTTTTGGTTTTTTCGTCCGTTATTACTAAGCGTTTCTAAGAAACTTCAAGCGACAGCGTGAGCCCGAGCGTAGCAAGAGCTGGGCATTAACGGTTTACGAGACGTGACTGACAGGGAGTATTATATTGTCCAAACCTTATTAGCCTAGCGTTCAGTGGTTGTCTCTGAGATATCCAGATGCATTACCTCGTACTTCACGTATTTTATTCTTCTATTGGTTAAATACCGACTGAGTTCACTTGAATCCGACGTTTTCATATGCCCATAGTAACCTTAAGGTCTACTATACATTCATATGTCCTGAATATGAATGTGTATGGCAACCGAACCGGTAAGAATTCCTCCACTTTTCATTTTGCTCTTATACGGATGCGGACGAAGCAAATATCGGGCCTAATGCGAAGCCGTCCACACACCTGCATAATTGCCAAAGGTGTTCATGCATTCTACTGTAGGTTGTTTGCGAATAATACTAATATTCATCCCTTGCATTCCAGCCCAGATACGGCGCTTTGGTAACGCAATTGCACTCTACTCTGTCCTTCTCCGTAACTGACAACTAATTCCACAGCTGTCTTATGTCTTTTACCTGCTTCTCACACGATTTTCTCCATGTTGCCTTCATCAGCCTAACTAATTACTCCACATTCAGTTTCCACGCGAGAACAGCCTGGTGTGTGATGTCACCTTATTATTCCTCATGGCGTCTTTTAGATTCATCCTCGATTCTTTTTGAATGTACGTTCCAGGCAACGTTATTGTTCAGTTCGTCATCACAGTTGCTTGTCGCGTAACTTTACGGTTATCAACGTATTTTCATTGTGGGCTGCACAAATTCAGGCTGCTGAAAAAGCTTTAGGTGATGCACCAAGTCCCTAAGGATTACCAAGGTGGCGATCTGGTATGAATAACAACAAATTCAAATCTGGTTCTTCGTATTGAGCACTGTACATGTTTACACTGATTTTGATGTCGTGAATACCTGTCTTGCTTTTCTTATCCTGGTTGGCTCCGACATCTTCGTTTGTGCCGTATATATATGCCTCAGTAAACTCTTCGGCGAGCTTTCTGCAGTGAATTACCTGGTATGCAGTACCATCGTAAATTTTTTGAGTGAGATCTACTGTTTGTGATAACAGAATTTCTTAATGCGAGAACAACACTACTGGCTTTCCGAAGTTGATGAAGTTAAAGTACACAGTAGGTCGCTATTCAGAGTCCTTGTGGGTTTTGTAGTACTCGTTTGTTGAAGTAAGCCCTTCTCAAACAAGTTTCGAATTATTCTTTTACTTTGTCTCAGAATGAAGCTGTAACCATGCCTCAGAATTCTGTCAGTAAAGGCTCATCCCCAGAGTTTGATTTTGATGCATCCGTGAGTCAGATACTTTGGATAAAAATGTGCAGCTAATGACTTTCGGGTTGGGTGAAGGGTTATACAAAACCCGTCTTAACATCTCGATACAGTGGTCTTCATTCTACAGTAGGATTAATGCAAACATAATGAAGTTACATTTGGCGAACTAAACAAATGAAAACTGTGAGGTTATCTCCAGTGATTTTTTCTAAAATTTCAATAAATTCTACCTGATCATGGATATATGAGATTAGTCATTTAACATTGAAATTTGTTTTATTGTGGTATTTTCTACTAACTGTGAATTGCGTGCGAATTCTTCTAGCACATCATTTGTCACCGGCTATTGATTTAAACTGAATTATTTAGCATGGATGCATACATCGAGCCTTTTAATAATGCATTTGAACGGAGCATGGACAGAGCAGGTACCTCAGTGAGCATAACGTTTTATCATCCTAGACCCCCGAGTATCTTCTTTGTTCTTAATGGGTTCAATCAAAGGAATAATATTTGTCCTAATAGCCTATCTGTTGATGATTCATTATGGGCTGAAGTATATGAAAGGCCGGAAGCCTTACAGCGCTACTCGTTTTGTTCTTCTTTATGACTTGCTTATGGTCGTTTCAAATGCCTACATCGTTTACGAATGCATTGCAGTTGCACTCAATGAAAGGTATTCATTCATGTGTCAAAAGGTCGATTATAGCTCAAACGCAAATGCATTAAGGGTAGGTCTTTTGAATTTTTTATTTAACTCTCTTTGGTCTGTGTTCAGTCATAGTGATATTTTATAAAATGTCTCTAGTATGGTTGTTCCATCATTTCCTATTGTACATGTTCGTTTAATTGAGGACAGATAGAGAATTAGTAGCTGCTTTGCTTGTCGGCGTTTGGATATTAGTTTGCGGAACTGTCCAACTACATTTTTATTGTGTTTTAGGTTTTGTCATTCTTCAGTTAGCTAAATTTATGTGTTCTCATAATGCAAGTGACTTCGGTCTAGTACTTTAACTCGTTTGTGTGGATTTACAGTGGTTGTAAGGCATTTTGTAGATCAAGTTAGTTAATCTAGTTAGCTTAGAAGAGTCCTTGAGTCTGTAATTGTTTGCCTCATTAATTCCATAGGTTTTGATACTACCATAAGACGGCCCAATAAAAAATCCCACTTAAGATTTCGTGTGTATTTTCGTTACACTTTGTTTCTGTAGACATCGACACATCAGCTTCCTTTCTATTTATGTAGCAGCATAACATAGTTAACCTTTCTTATTTTCTGCAATAAAAGCAAATTTTGTCTTCTACTAAACAGTTGGTCATGCATTCGAGTCACGCCTGGTCTATTTCAACTTGTCTAACTAGGTAGGACCATCAGGTATCATGTATCATCAGTTTGTAGCCTGCGACATAAACACTTCTTGTAGGAAACGAGCCCGAACAATGATAAAAAGGCTACAAATTTTACATATTCTTAACAAACAGTTATATATTTTTTTACTGCAGTTACAACACTATCCGTGTGTTTTATCCACTAGGTATTAGGTTCTATAGGCGTGTAATAAATTGAACAAACAATCTTACTTGTCACTGTAAAATATCATCTTGGTAAATGTCATTTCTGATATTTAAGGATCGTAACAGATCAAATGAATTTTGTTTTACTAAAAATTGAGTGTACAGTTAAGTACCTCTTAGAATGGAGGTTTAATTGTTGGCCAATTATTATAATGAAAGTCGGCTGAAGGCACTATGAATGATAAGCAGTTATTCTGCATTTTCACTAACAGGAACATGTCATGTAGATTATTCCTGAATTAATGTTTCGCGATTGCGTTTCTTATGGATATGTGTTTTCCAATGAGATTATCAGCAGACGATTTTCACAGCCATAGTCATTGTTAATATTACGTTCAGTAAAGTGAATGACAGCGTTTACAATTTCTAAAGTTCACTTTAAATTTACCAGTAATAATATCCTTTAAACAGCTTTTCAGTGTGACAGTTTTAATATGAAACTTGTCCAGATGCTACTCCCTGAATGAACGGCTGAAAAAGTTTTATTGCACAATAGCACTTATGCCGATGAACTGTTTCTGAAACAAATGACACCCCTATCCATAATTATAGTTCAAATCACTAAAAGTAGCGACAGAAATCTCTTTGTGCAACCAATTTTGAAGGCACTGCAAAATCTCCAGGACTGGTTATGTATATTCAAATTACGTAGGACACCGATATAGGCAGCTAAGATTCATGCTACCAGTTCCATCTCGGAACTTTCTTTACTTTCCGCTGTTTGTTAGGCTATTGACATACCACTTTGAGTGTTAGTTTATCACTTCTTGGTGCACCATAGCTTCTTCGGTGTTGTTCAAGGGTTGATGCAACTAATTCGTTCAATACGTCACTGGATGGTCTTATATTTCAAAGCACTGGCAACGACGCTTCAGCATTCTTGTTTCTCCCACTGTCCAAAGTACCGTATTGACTAATACCCCTTGGGAAGTGAGGTGTAGCAATTCTTACCTGCTTATCGTATCGTCTCATCTGTTTCATTCCCCATTTATTCTCCTTCTTATACTATTCTATAAGGTATACTTATTGATTCCCCTGAATTAAATTCATAAGTAGAATGTATGGAGTTATTTTCTAACTGCTTATTATTCAGTTTTCGGTGTCAAGAGTATTTGGACATCTATTTTAACGCTTAAAAAGTTGTTTGATGCAGGTACCAAGATGTTTTAAAACTTTTAGTTGGATACTTTTATTTGATGCCTCACATAGTCTGGTTAATAGCGCTATGTATGCAAACTATGATGGTTGTTGGTGTACTATGATGTGATTATTAGCAATGTCAGTGGGACAGCTGAAATTCTCAGTTCACTTTGATACTGTGAATTTGTGTCTTTATGGAACTGTGTGTGTGTGTGAGTGGGTGGGTTGTCATTACTTCACGGCTATTCACAGCATGGAAGTTGACTTTATCTTGGAGTATCTGAAACAGAAACAGCATTGGTTTTGTGTTACCTCAAAGCCCAGTGGGCAACTGCTTGAGGCTGGTCAAACATGGTCTGTTTGAGACAGTTTTCGGAGTTGTGTTTATATGAATACCTTACTACAGACTGCCTCTGGCTCCACGATTGTCTAAAAAGCTTTCATTTTATTCATCTCACACTTAGATGCCAAAATCATTGTTAGCCATTCGCGTTACACTTGACAACGTGACATGCGATGTCACTCAACGGTCTTTGTGGCATATATTTGCAGTCCGACTCCATTTCCTTTTGCATATCTACTGGTCATTAGGTTGTTACGTGGTTCATTGTCAGAGTTGCTTATCGCTTATCCTTTCTGACCAGTCATCTACTCTCGTGTCTGCAACGAAAAGGGAAAATGTTAATAAGAGTGTGGAGTAGCTTATTGTTGATTCTTTGTCTGACAAAGTTGTAAAGTCTTTGAGCCATATCGAAACACTGGCTCACTTGACATTAGCATTGAAGATGCAAATCTTGCAGGTTCTTCATTCCAGCATAAAATTTCATCCTGCCAAATAAAACTCCATACACTCGATTACATTAGATTTTAAAACTGTTATCTTATGGTTGTGTGTCACTGCATTTAGTGCTCTAACTGAACTATCTACTAGATTTCTAAATCTTATTAAATTTAACTAATCTCAATTTTTTGATAAGTTTTTATGTTCCAACTTGCAATAATGGCGTGATATATTTACGCCTAATAAATAATGAATGGATTCATTGTCTTTTTTTCAATGACATAATTCATGAACAGTTTTTATATAGATAGATAAATTTCACACGCGTAAACACATGCACACACACACACATGCCGACAGGCCTAAACTAGAATTTAGCGGTGTTGATAAACGAAAAAGGATTAGGATAGTCTCAGTCAGTCAGTCTCTGTTGTTGTTGTTTTTTAATCTTCCTCCTTTTTTTCTCTTATATGCGTATTTGGAAAGTTCTATTTTAATTGTTATACATATGTAAGAGTGAGGAACGTCTTATTTGCATAAAAAGTAAAGAAGATGGAAAGTTAAACACACTAGTGTGTGTTTAAAGGGAACCTACACATTCAAACAGATATTATTTGGACTTCGGGTCATCCCACCCAGTCTATGTCAGTGCAAAAAATAGGATTGGTGAAATGTTTAATTGATACAGGCACAAAAACTAAGTAGTACTGAGGAAAATCTAAGACAGGAAGTGATACACATAAAAGAAGCCTTGAAACTTAATAATTACCCGGATAAATTAGTCAGGAAATATGTAAGGAAATGTAAGAATAGAATAAATAATAATAATGACATGCATATCAAATATGCACAAGATAATGACAATACCAACAATAAGGAATCTAAATCATCAGTAGTAATTCCATACAAGGAAGGAATCTCGGAAACCACATTACGCAGAATTCTTAACAATACAAGCTGGAATGAAAGTGCCTGCCATTCGAACCGACCACAAGCTCAATTAGAAACAAGCTTTGTCGGTTAAAGGATCAATCCTGACAGTGGAGCCTTTAAAACAAAACAATTTAATTTATCTAATACCTTGACTGCTGGAATGATTGTCAGGTCAAATACATAGGTAAGACTAGTAGAACAGGAGCAGCCAGACTAGCGGGGTATGAAAACCTAGAAAAATGTAGATTGGTTAACCCGAATAAGATAACAGGAAATCCAGAGAATAGTTCGGCTATTGCATTAGATGCGGTTACACACAACCATAAAATAGGATGGGATAGGATGACAGTTTTAAAATCTAATGTCACAGGGTATAGGGAGAGATTGATAACAGAAGCTTTGTTTATCGAATCAATTGGAAACACGTGTAATAGGAATAATTCAACACCTGTCCACACAGATATTTGGAAAATTCTACTACCCTTACGACAAATGGAAGTGGACAAAGAAAACTGTAAAACTCAAATTTCGAATTCGTGTGATTATAATTGACGAGATGATTATGAACCGCCATAAATTGTGTACGAAACCTTGTCATCCAGTAAATAATAATACTGTTGCACTTCGCGTGTGATACATCTAATAAAGAAACTAATATGGAATTACTTACTACCACAGTGCCCAAGTTTTACACATATATTATTTGCTTTCTGTCACCAAAATACAAGAGAGATAGATAGACAGAGAGAGACAGAAAGATGTTTTCACAGTAAAATGAAACAATTTACTTTTGATTCTGTGATCGTTTTCTTCTTCTTCTTCTTCTTCTCCTACTCCTCCACCTGTTCTACTGTTGATTGATCTCCTTTTTCTTTATTGACATTGTGCTTAAAATTTTGTTTAGCACCAAACAAGTAAAGATGTGTGCAGTATGTATGTGAAATTTAATCTCTTACTCTGTACACCGTCTAGCTTAGATTACACTAGACTGGGCTAGACCGATTTTTAAATCATCAGCTAAAGAGCACTCACTAGGCAGGTGTTTCCTTTGATCATAAGATTGGCTGGTAATGCTTGCTGGTTTAAGTGATTACTAGCTTTTCATCCGAGTGGTCCCTAGTTCGAGTCCTACTCCACTTCCCTTAGTCTTGGCAAGTCGGTGGTATTGTCAGCCCTCACACAATCAGTGTGGCTGCTAGTTTGGTACATGAAAAATCCTGTTCTGGGTAATTGAGCTGAAACATGTTGGAAAATGACATATATTATTCCAACTTCATGATGATTGAAATTTAAGTATGCTCA